GGTTGTGGAGAAAGGGGAACCCTCTTACACTGTTGGTGGGAATGCAAGTTAGTACAGCCACTTTGGAAAACAGTGTGGATGTTCCTCAAAAAAATTAAAAAGAGAGCTACCCTATGACCCAGCAATTGCACTCCTGGGTATTTACCCCAAAGACAGATGTAGTGAAAAAAAGGACCATATGCACCCCAATGTTCATAGCAGCAATGTCCGCAATAGCCAAACTGTGGAAAGAGCCAAGATGCCCTTCAACAGGTGAATGGATAAAGAAGATATGGTCCATATATACAATGGAATATTACTTAGCCATCAGAAAAGATGAATACCCAACTTTTACATTAACATGGGTGGGACTGAAGGGCATTATGCTAAGTGAAATAAGTCAAGCAGAGAAAGACAATTATCATATGGTTTCACTCATATGTGGAACATAAAGAATAGTGCGGAGCACCACAGGGAAAGGGAGGGAAAACTGAATGGGAAGAAATCAGAGAGGGAGACAAACCATGAAAGACTCTGGACTCCGGGAAACAAACTGAGGGTTACAGAAGGGAGGGGGGTGGGGGATGGGGTAACAGGGTGATGGGTATTAAGGATATTATGCTAAGTGAAGTAAGTCAAGCAGAGAAAGTCAATTATCATATGGTTTCACTTATTTGTGGAACATAAGGAATAGCATGGAGGACATTAGGAGAAGGAAGGGAAAAATGAAGGAAGGGGGAAATCGGAGGGGGAGACGACCATGAGCGACTATGGACTCCGAGAAACAATCTGAGGGTTTTAGAGGGGATGGGGGTGGGGGATGGGTTAGCCCGATGATGAGTATTAAGGAGGGCATGGAGTACTGCATGGAGCACTGGGTGTTATACGAAAACAATGAATTATGGAACATTATATCAAAAACTAATGATGTACTGTATGGTGACTAACATAACATAATAAAATAAAATAAAAATAAAATCCAAAAAAAGAAATTATATGTGCACAGCAAAGGAAGTCAAAATGAAAAACAAAATGAAAAGGCAACCTACAGAGTGGGAGAAAATATTTGCAAATCACGTATCTGTTAAGGGGGTAATATCCAAAATGTATAAAAACCCGTGCAACTCAATAGCAAAAAAACTAGCAATCCAATTAAAAATGGGCAGAAAATCTGAATAGACTTTTTCCCAAAGAAGGTATACAGATAGCCAGCAGGTACATGAAAAGATGCCTCACCTTACACCTGTCAGAATGGCTAAAATAAAAAAGATAATAACAAGTGTTGGTAAGGATGTGGAGAAAAAGGAACTCTTGTGCACTGTTGGTGGGAATATAAATGTCCATTGCTGCAGCCACTGTGGAAAACAGTATGGAGGTTCCTCAAAAAATTAAAAAAAGAAATACTGTATGATGCAATAATTCCACTACTCAATATTTACCCAAAGAAAATGGAAACAGTAATCCAAAAAGATCCATGCACCCCTACGTTTATTGCAGCATTATTTACAATAGCCAAGATATAGAAGCAATCTATCAGAGGATGAAAGGACAAAGAAGTTGTGGTATTTATATACAATGGAATATTATTTGACCATAAAAAAGAAGGAAATGTTGGGATGCCTGGGTGGCTCAGTCGTTAAGTGTCTGCCTTCGGCTCAGGTCATGATCTCAGGGTCCTGGGATCGAGCCCCACATCGGGCTCCCTGCTCAGCGGGAAGCCTGCTTCTCCCTCTCCCACTCCCCCTGCTTGTGTTCCCTCTCTTGCTGTGCCTCTCTCTGTCAAATAAATAAATAAAATCTTAAAAAAAAAAAAAAGAAGGAAATGTCTCCATTTGCAACAACATAGATGGACCTTGAGGGCATTATGCTAAGTGAAATAAGTCAGACAAGGAAAGACAAATACTGTATGATATGCTTGTATGTGGAATCTAAAAGAAGCTGAACTCATAGAAACAGAGTACAATGGTGTTTGCAGGGTCTGAGGGGGTGAGCAAAATGGGGACATGGTGGTCAAAGGGTACAAACTTCCAGTTATAAGATGAATAAATTCTGGGAATTGAATAAATAGCATGGTGAACATAGTTAACGATGCAGTATTAAATACTTGAAAGTTGATAAGAGGATAAATCTTAAATAACCCTACCACAGGAAAGAAATTGTAATTATGTGAGGTGATAAAGGTGTTAAAAAATGCTACTGTGTGGGCACCTGGGTGGCTCAGTTGGTTAAGCGACTGCCTTCGGCTCATGTCATGATCCTGGAGTCCCGGGATCGAGTCCCGCATCGGGCTCCCTGCTAGGCAGGGAGTCTGCTTCGTCCTCTGACCCTATCCCCTCTCATGTGTTCTTTCTCTCTCATTCTCTCTCTCTCAAATAAATAAAATCTTTAAAAAAAAATGCTACTGTGGTAACCATTTCATAATATATAAGTGTATCAAATCAGCAGTGTACATCTAAACTTATACAATATTATATATCATTTGCATCTCAATAAAGCTGAACAAAAAAGAAACCAACACTCATTACAAACAAAACAAAACAAAACATAAACCAACTCAAAATTCATCAATGGCAGAATGGATAAAAAATGTATAGTATGTTGAAATGATGAAATGTCATACAGGAACAAAAATGAATAAACTATAGGTATATTATAACACAAATAAATCTTATATAAAGTAGATCCCCCCAAAAGGAATATGCACAGTGTATATAAAACATGATTCCATTTATATAAAGCAGAAAAATAAACCCCAAACCTACTAAATTGCTTTGTTTAGGAATCATGAGGCAAAATAAAAATAAAAGCAGAGCAATTATTACTGTAAAATTCAGAATAATGGTTACCTTTAGAGGGAACAAAGGGATTATATCCATCAAGTACTTCTAAGATGGAGGGAGAAATTATGTCCATGCAGGTGGCACATATGGGGACCTTCTGTACTATTTTTAGTGTTTTACTTCTTGATAGTGGTTATATGGCTAATTATTATTCATTAAACTGTATACTAAACTTTTATGCTTTTTTCTTTATAATTTACAGTTAAAATGGTCAAGAAAAAACCTCAAAATAAAACCCTGAACTTTTTAATACTTTTTAACTAAATTGTACCAGTAAGTTATTCTGTACCCCACCCCTGAGCTATACCCAACTGTTGGTCCTCTTTTCCCTGGTGTGGGTGCTGGGCATAGGGTAAGGCTCATAGAGGAAGTTAATGAGAGACAGGGATGGGTTGAGTTTCAAAGAGGTAATAAAATACAGGAATGAGTTAAAGATAAGGGAATATTTAGAGTTCAAAGTCAGAGGTGGTTCAGGAAGAGAATGAAGAGTAAAGGGTGGGATTATGATTTGAATGCCTGTCAGTCACATTACATGTTGGCTGATAAAAACGCAAACAGAGAATTTACATTTATTTTACCAGAGCTGTTTTGTTGATGATTTATCAAAACTGTAGCATTAAAATAATGCCCTCAAACTACTCATATGAAAAAATCCTGATTTGGTCAAGGCAAGCATCTTAGAGGGCAGTGATACCTGACTTGAGACGGAAAACATGAGAAGATAAACATAGGGAATGAGCAGTTACCATAGAGGGAACAGCATAAGCAAAGACTCAGAGCCATGGAACAGCAGGTGAGTGCAAGGAAACAGCAGAGTGCTGTTGCTGGAGGTAGGACACATGGAGAGCTGAGGCCAGAGAAGGGTGGCAGAGACAGAATATTCCAGGGCTTTGTGTGCCATGTTAAGAGTCAAGAGTCTGCTGTTGGTAACCAAGAGCCATAGAAAGGTTTTGTGGGAATGACATGGTAGTGAATAAACATGAAATTTAAAAAAAGCAAAGTATTAGGTATGCATGGACAAAATAATGTTAAAATACACATATTTTCACTTAGAAAGATTAGAAATTAAGTAACAGTAATGCTTAAAGTGTTTAATTACAATTGATTAATTTTATTCCCTCTAAAGTCACTTCCAAATAAAACAATTAATTGATAGGTTGTTATTCTGCTTTATCAGTCCATCTCTTGTGAATTTCATTACCAAGAGGCATGTAACATGCTATTCAAAAATCAGATCTTCACTCATTAGTCATATGAGATTAAAACTGCTCATTTTATATTTCTCTTCAATAAATTTTAATTGTAACAGAAGACAGAACTTAAATCTTGAAAGAGCTAAATTTGTAACAAATAAGAGAATAGACTTACAGATATTCCTTGAATTATGATGGGATATGTCAAAAATGCATTAAATGCGCCCAACCTACAAAACACCATAGCTTAGCGTAGCCTACCTTAAATGTGCTCAAAACACTTACATTAGCCTACAGTTAGGCAAAATTATCTAACACAAGGTCTATTTTATGATAAATTGTTAAATATCTCCTGTGAATCATTGAATACTGTACTGAAAGTGAAAACAACGGTCGTATGGGTTCAGAAGAGTTTAAGTGTACTGATTTACTCTTGTGATCACTGCTGCCCCCCAGCGTCATGCGATGATATCATACCACATATTGCTAGTCCGCTAGTCTGGGGAAAAAAAGGCCCAAGTTCAGAGTACAGTTTCTATAGAATGCATATCACTTTTGCACTATGGTAAAGTTGAAAAACCATAAGTCAAGCCACCATAAATTGAAAACCATCTGTATTTATCCGCTGCGCTGCACCTTTAGGAAATTCACTAGTCTCCAAGTGGTAAAGGATTCAGTAAGGGACTGGACAGATTTTTGAAGAATGGTTTTACGATAGATGCACAGGAATATCTTTAAAGCACTTTGAAGGTTAGCATCTTCATGAATAATGCAGTTCATAGAAATTATAGACAATGCTCAGTAGAATTCAAGAGAAAGATTTAGAACTGTGGAAATTGAGCAGTAGCTCAAAATCACTACAATAGCTAAAGATAATGGACAATTAAGGTGTATTTAGTTCTGGAATGCTTAAAATATATTATTCAGAGCCCTTAAAAAGGAAACAGCATATTATTTTATTTGTGATAATAGCAATGTTTCCACCTACTAGTGAAGGTTCATTTGCATTCCACAGCAACTCACTGGGGTCTGCATTTTCTGGATCATATATCCATATAACAACAACCTACAAAATAAAAAGTGTTTGCATTTCTTTACATTTTGGACAAATTTCATTTTTAGTTGTGGCAAAACACAACCATAAAAATGTTTTTATTAATTTAAAATTTTTTGATTATCCCATTAAAAATATCAAAAGTGTTATGTGTTTTTAACAAGTGAAATAGACCAAAGACCTATGAAGGAAGAGTTAAGATCCGCTAACACTCCTGCGGTAACTAATTTTAAAACTCTGTGTGAATGTGTATGTCTCTTTCTCTACAATCATAATTAGACACAGCAACCCCTCACCCCTGCACTTTTTACAAAAATGAAATCACATGACGCATGTTATCCCTAACTCGCCTTTGTTACTTAGACACCATGGCCATTTCAATAGATGCAGATCTAATTTTTTTTCTTTCTTGTTAATTTTTTTCTTGAATAGACAATTTATTCACATAGTTAAAAAAATTATATTAAAAATAAAGTGAAAATTGTCTCTCCCACTCTGTACTCCATCTGCACCCCACAAGTATCTACTACTAGTAAGTTTTCTTGTTTATATTTCTGTAAAATTTTTGTGCATAACTAAGACGTTATTTTTTCTTTGTATATAAATGTAAGTATGCTAAACACATTTTTCAAACATATTCTTCACGTACAGTTATATTTTAGAGATCTTTACATATTCTCATTAATTTTTCTACTGCTTATTATTCCAAATTATGGAGGAATCATAAGTAACTAGTAACTTACTAATAAACATTCGTTCTCCATGGGAGATGATGGACTCTGAAAAACAGGCTGAGGGTTCTAGAGGGGAGGGGGGTGGGAGGATGGGTTAGCCTGGTGATGGGTATTGAGGAGGGCACATTCTGCATGGAGCACTGGGTGTTATGCACAAATAATGAATCATGGAACACTACATCTAAAACTAATGATGTAATGTATGGTGATTAACATAACAATAAAAATTTAAAAAAATTCGTTCTCAATCCTTTGCCATTATGATCAATGCTATAGTGAGCAAATTTGCATATGTATTATTTTGTACCTTGGACTATACCTAAAAGTGTAACTGTTGAGGCATAAAGTATATGCACTTGTAATTTTCATAGATACTGCTAAATTGTTCTCATAGCAGCTCCACTCATATACTGTCACGCCAGCAGTGTATGAGATTTCTTCTTTCCTCACAGCCTTCCCAGCATAGTGTGTTGTCACATTTATAATTGGCCAGTCTGATGGGTGAAAAATGGTACTTTGACGCAGTTTTAACCTCTCTTTTATTATAAAAAAAAATTTGAGCATCTTTCCATATGTTCAAGTTCCACTTGCATTTTCTGTCTTGTGAACTATTTGTTCATTTCCTTTACCTATTTTCCATTTTTCTATTGGGTTGTTAGTCTTTTATTTATTAATTTGGGGAAGTTCTTTAAGAACTTCTACATCTATATGTTTTGTATCTTGATCTGTGTTTTGGTTAGGTGGTTTTACACACACACATATACACATATATGAAGATTTTATTCCTTTTATAATTATATGACATTCCTACTTATCCTATTTCACCTGTTTGCCTTAATTCTATATTGTCCTTATATATTTCTGCCCTCCCTCCCTTCTTTCCTTCCTTCCTTCCATGCTTTTTATAGCAGGGTTTTATTTCACCTTTATATTCCCTTCACCTATTAAGCCTCTCTCAATCTATGTAACGTGATTTAAACAACTAGTATGTATCCTTCCTTATTTTTCTCCACACTATATGTTTGCAGACATGTACAGAAATACATACTTACATTTATTTATTTTTAAAAAGAGGCATTTTAAGGGTTTTAAAAACAAAATTGGGTCATATTATACACACTTCCCATATTCTCTTTCTCATGCAAGTATATACATCATTGAAATTCTGCAGTGTCAACTCTTATAAGGCCTGAATAACATTCTACAGGTGTATGATATAGTAATTCAATAGTTCCATATATCACCCAGTGTCCCTCATTCAACAAAATTTGAGAGTGGCTCTTGCTACAGGTTCTGTGTCTTTCTTGTTGAATTTATTTGTATTTTATAGTCTTTATTGCTATTATAAATTTGTAATATTGTATTTTGTGTCTTATTACTTACACTATTATGTTCAAGACAATGTTAAATAATAATGATGATACGGAGCACATCTGTCCAGTTCCTGATTTTAGTTGAATCAGAAGTATTTTATAATTTATAATAATTATTTATAGTTACTTGAAAATTCAATGTTTTTTATTAAAATCAAGTGGTTCCCTTATAAACTTATTTTGCTTGGTGTTTTCATTAGGAATGTTTATTCAATTTTTAAATTTACTATGTGATCATTTATTTTCATCTTTATTGTGTTGATGGAATGGATATTGTCAGCTTTCTTGGTATCGAACCAATGTTGCATTCTGGAAGATACTGGCCCTTTTCAATGTATTCTTTTAATATATTGCTGGATTCCATTTGCTAATATTTGTGTAGAATTTTTGCACCTATATATACAAGCATATTTGTCTACACTTCCCTCCCTCCCTTCCTAACTTTCTGTTTGCCCGCTTTTGGTTTTAAAGTAGTGTTGGATTCAGGAAATAAATTGAGGGAACTTTCTATCTTCTTTATAATCAGGTGAGACTACATTGTTAAGCACAGATGATATCATTATTACCCTCTTTGTAGATTTTTTTATTATCATGAAATAATTTCCCTCTTCATGTCTTTGAAAGTTTTTGGGCTTCATGTATCTTTTATTTGACATTCATATCATCACTCCAGTTTCCTTTTTTAGAAAACATTTTATTTATTTATTTGATACAGAGAGAGAGAGCACAGCAGGGGGATAAGCAGGCAGAGCAAGAAGGAGAAGCAGGCACCCCCTGAGCAGAGAGCCCAACGTGGGACTCGATCCTGAGATCATGACCAGAAACGAAGGCAGATCCCAACCAACTGAGCCACCGGGGCCCCTCCCCAGTTTTCTTTTGATAGTATTAGCCTGTTTGCATCATTTTCTTTCCAAATTTTTTGTTACTCTTTAACTATGTAACTTTTATTAAAATCAGATTTCTGGAGTTTCTGTCATATAATGGGTGAATTTAATCCAATCACAATTTTGATTACTAATTTAATTTAAATGATTTTGAAAATCTTATTTTTGTGTCCCTATATTCTATGCTTATTTTTTCTTTATTTTGTGTTTCATTACCTTCTACTAAACTGTTAGCATTTTAAAATTTCTTCTTCCAGAACTCTACTTCTTAGAAATTTTAGAAATTATATATTTATTTCTATTACTTTAATGGATAGTCTTACATTTTACATGCATATTTAATGTAGGCTAAAGTTAATCCAGTATGCCTATCCTGAATGCTTGTAAGGACCTTAAACAATTTCAAACCCAAATCCCCCTTCATTTTCACTCTTTATTGGCTAGCTTTTTAATTTTATTTTGTTTTTTTAAAAAAAACATTATTGAAAAGTTTTGATTGTCAATGTTTATTTAAATTTATTAGCATATTATATAGTTCATTTGTTCACCATTACTCAGATACACATATCTGAGTATTCAGTCTTCAATTGTGAAGAATTCTCCATAATCATCTCTTTCAGTATTATGTCCAATTCATTTTATTCCCTTTTGGAACTCCTATTATATGACATGATATATGGAGTATGATAAACTGTCTCCGTCTATCCTCTATGTCTCTTAACTCTTTAGATATTTTCCATATCTTCATTTTTATGCACTGCATTCTGCATGATTCCTATTCCAAATCACTGATTCTGTAATTTTCTCAACTGTGTCTGGTCTTCTATTGAAACTGCTACTGAACTTCTATTTTTAGATGCCTATTTTTTCATTTCAAGACATTTTAGTGAGAGGTTTTTCAATTTCTGAATGCTATATAATTGTTTTTTATTTCAATTCCTTCTGTTATTCCTTTGAATACTTTAAATATGGATTTAGTAGTCTTTCAGATGGTTCTCATTTCTAGCTTTCAATAGTATGAACTTTCTCCATTTTTATGTATCTATTCCAGACTGGTTTTTTTTGTGTGTGTGTGTGTGGTTTATACCTTTTACTTTTTTTTTTTTTTAAAGATTTTATTTATTTATTTGAGAGAGAGAGAATGAGAGACAGAGAGCATGAGAGGGAGGAGGGTCAGAGGGAGAAGCAGACTCCCTGCCAAACAGGGAGCCCGATGCGGGACTCGATCCCGGGACTCCAGGATCATGACCCGAGCCGAAGGCAGTCGCTTAACCAACTGAGCCACCCAGGCGCCCTATACCTTTTACTTTGAGGTTATTTTCAGAGGGTTTGTTTTCTATGAGAATCTTAATACACTCTGGGTTATGGAAATGAGTTTTGCAGTCAGATTTTCTCTGATTCTTTCCTTTCTCTTTTTCAGGGTTTGCTGATTTTCTTTAGTGATATGTTTGGATTTCTTTCTCTTTATTCTTTGTATATTTATTAGTGGTTTTTGATTTGTGGTTTCCATCAGGTTTATATAAAACCTCTTCTTCATGTAACAGTCTATATTAAGTTCATGGTCATTAAAGTTTGGACCCATTCTTTACTCTCCTCCTCCCCACATTTTCAATATATGTTGTTATATTTCACATACTTTTGTGAATTCCTTGACTGTTTTTTTTTTACAGAAATATTCATTTTTACTGCTTTTGTGATTCCTACCTTTATACTGTCACTTTTGGTCTTTCCTTTCCACCCAAACTGTCCCCTTTAATATTTCATGCAGGGCTGGTTTAGTGATAATGAACTCCTTTAGTTTTTGCTTGTCTGGGAAACTCCTTATCTCTTCTCCTTTTCTGAATGATAACCTTGCTGGATAGGGTATTCTCAACTGCAGATTTTTCCCATTCAGCACTTTGAGTGTATCATACCACTTCCGTCTGGCTTGGAACATTTCTGTTGAAAAATCTCCTGCTAGCCTTATCGATTTTCCCTGGTAAGTTACTTTCTTCTTTTGTCTTGCTGCTTTAAGTATTTTTTATCACTATATTTTGCCAATTTAATTACAATATGTCTTGGTGTGTGTCTGCTTTTGTTGATATTGATGGGGGTTCTCTGTGTCTCCTGGATCTGGATATCTGTTTATTTCCCCAGATTAGGGAAGTTTTCAGCTATTATTTCTTCAAATAAATTTTCTGACCCCTTTTCTCTCTCTTCTTCTCTTGGGATTTCTATAATATGAATGTTATTATGTTTTATGGAGTCACTGAGTTCCCTAATTCTATTCTTGTTTTGCATAATTCTTTTTTATCTCATGTTCAGTTTGATTACTTCACATCATTCTGTCTTCTGGGTTACTAATTCATTCCTCTCCTTCTTCCAACCTCTGTTCATTCCATGAAGCATGTTTCTCATTTTCTTTATTGTGTCCATTATCTCTGCTATATTGTTCCTTACCTCTGTGTTAAGGGTCTCACTCATGTCTTCTACTCTTCTCAGGTCCAGTGAGTATCCTTATGATCAATGCTTTAAATTCTCTACCAAGGCATGTTACTTTTATCTGTTTCACTTAGATCTCTGGCTGTGGCCTTGTCCTGTTCCTTCATTTGAGATAAAATTCTCTCTCTTCTCATTTTGTGTACATCTCTGTGTTAGGAACATTAGCTATGTCTCCTGTTCTTGAGGGTAATGGCCTTATGAGGAAGAGGTCCTGTAGTGCCCTGCCATATACTGTCCCCTGTTCCCCAGGACCTGGTGCTTCTGGGAATGTCTCCAATGTGTGCTGCCTGTACTCTGCTGTTTTGTCCTGGCTGCTTTATCCTTCAGGCCAGTTATCTGCAGAGTCTCTCTTTGCCTGTTGTAGGCAGTGTTTGGTCCCTGGCTTTAACGTGGCATGTTTTAACCAGGTGTGCTTTGGTCTAATTGTGATATGAATCTGTTGCCACTGCTGGCACAACAGAGGCTCTGCAAAACTCCCACAGGGATGTGTGGTGTGAGCAGGGGTTGTTTGGGCGGTCTTCTAGGGGAGGTGGCCTGCTGCACCAGGACTGGGCAAGTATGGTTCAAATGAGTGGTTCCACTGGAGTGTGTATCAGGGGTTGGGTTTGGTATACACAAGTTAGTTAGCGAATGTCGGCACTGCACTGGTTCCTGCAGGGAGCCCTGTGCTTGTGCTGAGGGTCAGGGGAGGGAAGTGGTTCTGGCCAATTCTTTTGTTCCCAGAGGTGTCTCTCTATGAATGCTGCCACTCTGGGACTCATAATGAGTGAGTAACCTTCCCAATGTGTGCTGCAGGTGCTCTTCCAATCACTGTTTCCATGCTGTATGTCTGCTAGTTGTTTGCCTGACTTCTCCCCAAGAGCAGTGCAGTACCCCCTGGGCTGTATCCCAGTCAAGCTCATTGATTTTCAAAACTCCAGGCTTTAAACCCCACTGGTTGCAAGAACTCACAAAATTCAGCCCCTCTCACTTTCCAAGCCAACTGGTATGGGGATTCATTTTTCCTGTGTGCTCCCCTCTGTGTTAGTCTATCTCTCACCCTTCCCTCCCTTCCACAGTGGCCATGATCTGTTTCTCTCCCAAACTGCATCTCTGCACTTCCTACCTTCTTCAGTGTGGCTTCTTTTCTACCTGTAGTTCTGGAGTTTATTCTGCTAGTCTTCAGGTCAACTTCTGGTGCATTTAGAATAATTTGATAGTATCTAGTTGTATTCATGGAAAGAGGCAAGCCTAGGGTCCTCCTACTCCACTGCCATCTTCCATCCTTGGACCAGATTTTTTTAAAATTTAAATTCAATTAGCCAACATATAGTACATCAGTAGTTTCATATGTAGAGTTCAATAATTCATCAGATGTGTATAACACTTAGTGCTCATCACATCACCTTCATCACACCCACATCATATCACCTCCTTAATACCTGTCAACCAATTACCCCATCCCCCCATCCACCTCCCCTCCAGCAACCCTCAGTTTATTTCCTATAGTTAAGAATCTGTGGACCAGATGTTAAAACCTTTTGATCTCAAGACCCCTTCATAGCCTTAAAAATTACTGAGAATCTCACAGAGCTTTTGTTTTATGTGGGTTAGATCTATCAATATTTACCATGTTACCATGTAACAAATTAGAACTGAGAAGATTTGAAGATATTTATTAATTTATTTTAAAAACGATAATAAACCAATAAATGTTAACATGATATATATTTTTATGAAAAATAATTATTTTTCAAAACAAAAAAATTAGAAAAATTGTTTTACATTTTACATTACAAAATGTCTTTAATATGTCTTAATAGGAGAAAGCTGAATTATCATCTGTGCTCTTACATTCAAGCTGTTTTGTATATGTTATTTTGGTGGAAGCATGTGGAGAAAATCTACCCTCACACAGATATGTGGTTGGAAAAGGATAGACCTCATGGAACTCCTGAAAAGGTCTGTGGAGCTCTACGGGTCCTCAAACCATATCTAAAATATCACTGCACTCTAAGAAAATTTTGTTGAAAAATTAGTTTGGAAAATTCTCCTTCTGGGAAACATGAAAGATTAGAGGTAAATAAGATAGTGGTGATATAGGAAGGATATATAAAATTTTTAAAAAACTTTTACCTGGGTTAAATTGTGAAAGAAATTTCTGTTGGGAAAAAGAGGAATCATATTTTAGTAAATAGCACACTAAATATTAGTTTGAATATTCCACTTTCAATATACATATTCCTAAGTTCTTCCATATTCTCCTTATATTCTATTACAGATATATAAACAAATACTAAATGTTAAAAAAGCTACATATGTCTATAATTAAACAGAACTATTGATTCTCACGTGTCATCATGTGTCAAAGGGCTGAGAGGCTTGAATCTGCATTCTGCCTTAACAATACTACAAATTCATATAGCTAAAGTTGCATGAGTATTAATCTTTAAAAATGTGACATGATCATTTTGCCTAAGAAAACCTGTAGTGTTTACATGCTGTAATTTATGTCAAATACAAGTTCATTAATTAGCAATGCAAATCCTTTATTAATCAGCCTTTCAATGTAAATTTTCTGAAAGGGACAACATTCATTTGTATGTTAAGTTGCATGTTTTTTAGAAAGTGATTTTTTTTTTCATTTAAAGATATCTATATTTTCTTTATCATATAATCCAAAAAAGTCAATGCCTCAGGACTCTTTTATTGGCCGATTGCTGCACAATGCCCAGTACATTATTAAATGTAAAACAAATGAAGATATTTCAGGAACCAGTAAATATGTATGCAGTGAATGTCTGAGACCCATATAAGGAAAACAAAATTTCATACATTCAACCTGATTTTAGAAAAAAAATGAAAATAAGTACTATAAATCTTTTTTTAAGATTTTTTTTTTTGTTTGACAGAGAGAGAGAGAGCTCACAAGCAGGGGGAGTGGCAGGCAGAGGGAGAGGGAGAAGCAGGCTCTCCACAGAGCAGGAGGAGCCCGATGTTGGACTCGATCCCAGGACCCTGGGATCATGACATGAGCCAAAGGCAGACGCTTAACCGACTGAGCCACCCAGGCGCCCCAGTACTATAAATCTTGATAGGCAAATGTGCTAAGAGTTCACAAAGTACTAAGTTGATCAAAAAGATCCATAGCTCCAGGGCTGGTATGTCTGCCCTGTGTTATGCTACTTGTCAGAGGTGCAGGAAATAAGAACAGAAGTGAAAACTGAGTTACTTATCTGGAAAGGAATATTTAAAGGCAAAAGGAGAAATGTACTGATAATATGAGAAAGCTTTATTTAGTATTAATACTAAAAACCTTATAAAAAGTAACCTTGTAGAGAGATAGTATCAGCTGATGTTAAAGTAATAACCTTGATTCCCATGGATGATTAGCAACATTCTGTTGGATCTTTATCAGTTTGCTTGGCATCCCTGAATTGGTACACAGACTGAAGGTAATAAGAATAACAGGGTGAAGGAAAGAAACCTGAATGGAGCTAACATTTAAGGTAAGGACAGATCATAAAGAGCCAAAGAAAGAAACTGGGAAAGGATCATCATAGAAATAGAAGAAGCTGATGTCACCAAGATGGTGCAGTAGGAGAAGCCAGCCTCTGTGCCCCCACAAAAATCAATAATTAGACAGCTATCTATAAGCAAACAGTTCTGGAGTGCTCAAGAGTCAACTTAAGAAACTTCAACATAGTGGAACAAAAACCTGAGAACAACTGCACAAAAGAGGAAGGAAGAATGCTTCATTTGTTCCATATCCCCCCATCTACTGAGCTGGCACTGCTCAGCACCAAGAGGGAAACTGCCAGCTAGAGAATTCCCTTCTCCAGAAAAGGGAATGCAGGGAGAGGGACAAGCTTCCCCAGTCTTCCTGGGTATTGCATGAAGGACCTGCTTTTGTTTTACCCCACCCAGGGACCAGCAAACCTGAGATGTATAGAGATGACTAGGAACAAGGAAGAAGGGCAGGGGTTACCAGTATCAGCCACACAGTGGGAGCAACCAGGGTTCCCAGTGACCTGCTCTTTAGAGAGGACCTGGCAGCTTTCACCATAGAAGAAACAATTGATCAGTATAGTCACCATGGACCCCTGCAGATTTCACTAGTTTTTACCCCACAGGTTTTTGCATTTGCAGATGCCACCTGCCTGTGTCCCTTCCCATTCCCCTCCCCTCACTCCTGTCAGAGAATGGGATCCACACAGGCAGCTAGCCCCAGCCTCTGCAGCTGTGCAAGTGCAAGATGCAGCCCAGAACCCCACAGCTGACCTCCACCCCCTTGTGGGTGCTTGGGGCTAGCTTCTCCAAATGTGCACCTATAGGCCCCCCAGCCCGACTTCCATTACTTGCTCTGCTACCATAAGCATGTCTGTGGCAAGACCCTGCAGCAATGGGAATACATCCCAATGGCCAAGGCTCTCAAAGCTGTTTGTGAGCCCAGACCTGGCCCTGTCTACTATCACTGGCCTCCATTGCTGTTCTTGCATCTATGGTGAGACATCACAGCCACAAGACATAGACAGTCAGGGCTCCTATAGCTGCTAGTGTGCCTGCATTCAGCCTGGCCCTTGCCCTCAACACTATGTGTGTGTCTGAAATTGACCCCTGCCAGTACACTGAAAACTACAGCAAGCTCCCACAGCTGAATATGTGCACACCACTGGCTTGGGCCACTATGACTTCCTGCTCTGGTTCCTAGTCCCTGGACCTGGAGGAGCTGCTTAGAACCCTAACAGCCCTTGCAGTGACTATGGACACTACACAGCACTTGCCCGATACCACACAGCTGTTGATGTTATGGACTCCAGTGGCCTGAGCTAATGAGACATCATGCCTCCCTGAACCCAAAGATGCCACATGCCCCTAAGGTGCCTTACATCATGAGACCTGGGGTCATAGCACACTCTACCCTGAGGTAAAGGTTTTCCTTAGCAAAGTTAGTCTTCCAAAATTTGGAAGAGGTGACTGCTTCTTCAAATATGTAGATACTTATGTGAGGCTAAAGGGAACATGAAGAATCAGGGAATCTTGACACCACCAAAGGAACACAGTATATTCCAGTAATGAAGCCCCCAAAATGGAGATAAATACCCTAAAAAGGAATTCAAACATTGGTTCTAAAGATGACCAGAGAGCTACAAGAGAACAAAGATCAACAATTTAATGAAATCAGAAAAACAATAGAAGAACAAAATGAGAATTTCAAAGATAGAAAACATTAAAAAAAAAACAACACAGAAATTTTGGAGCTAAGGAATACAATGACTACACTGAAGAATTTACAGGAGAGCTCCAAAAGAAGCCTGGATCAAACAGAAGAAAGAATCAGTGAACTCAAAGGCAGATCATTTGTAATTACCCAGTTCAGAAAATAAAAAATAAAAAAATAAAAAGGAATGACCAAAGCCTGTGAGACTTATGGGATACCATTAAGAGAAACAATCTATGTATCACTGGGGTCCTAGAAAGAGAAAAGGAGAAACTTAGAAACTTAAAGATAAAATGGCTGAGAACTTCCCAAACCTAGGGAAAGATTTGATATTTGATATTCAAGTTCATAAAGCTGTCACCCCAAAATTACAATCTAAAATGATCTTCTCCACAACCATTATAATAAAACTGTCTAAAACTAAAGATAAGAAGGGAATTTTTAAAGCAGCAGGAGAAAAAAAAAAATCCTCTCATACAAAGGAATCCCCCTTAGGCGAACAGTTGATTTCTCAGCAGAAACCTTACAGGTCAGGAGAGTGTGAGATAACATATTCAAAGTGCTAAAAGAAAAAATTGTCAACCAAGAACACTTTACCAGTAAATCTTTCCTTTGGAAATGAAGGCAGGATGAAGACTTTCCCAAACAAATAAAAGTTGAGGGGGTTTATCACTACTAGAATTTCCTTACAAGAAATGCTGAAACAGTTCTTTAAGCCAAAATAAAAGGCTTCTAATAAGTAAAAAGAAAACATGAAAATACATAACACACTAGTAAAGGTAAGTATATGATGAGATTCTGGATAAGTTAATATTGTAACAAGGTGGTGTGTTAGCCACTTACCTTTAGTATAAATGTTAAAGGACAAAATTATTAAAAACAGTTATAGCTAAAATAATTTGGTAACAGATTCACAACATAAAGAGATGTAGAGTTCTGGGAAGATGGCAGAGTTGGAGGATCCTGAACTCTCTAAATCCCACAGAAACACTGACATTAACAGCCATATGAGTGCAACTAATACAGAAAGCGACCCAAAGACTAGCAGAACAGACTTTCCACAGTTAATCACAGAGAGGAGGCCACATTGAAAAGGGTAGAAGGGGCAGAAACATGGTTAGGAACCCAACACTCTGGTGAGATTAACCACAAATGGGAGGAACATCACAAGCATGGAGAAGCAAGAGCATCAGACTCCACACCAGGCACCCCAGGTATTGGGGACCCAAACTGGGAAGACGAGTAACCATGATATTTGGCTCTAAAAACTGGTGGGGCTCAATTTCATGAGTTTTTATAATCAACAGGGCTTAATTCTGAATACTATAAAAATCAGAGGGCTTAGCTCCAGGAGATCCAGAGGGCAATAGGAAACTGAATGCCCACCCTTAAAAAGCCAGCATAATAAATAACCCAGCCACAATATAGCATAGAAGCAGCAATTTGGAAAGGGCCTGAGGTATATGGCAGATTTATTTACTGAGGTGTAGATTTATTTACTAATCTCAGAATGTGTGCTGGAGCAGCAGGGAGAATCTTTAGGAGACTTCTCCAAGAACAAAAGAGCTGGCAGGCACCATTTCTCTGCCCCCTGCCAGCCTAGACAGCTGAAACTTGTGGGAAATGGCATGAACACAATCCACATATCTTGCCAACACTGCATGTTCCGCCTCCATGCTCTCCTGTGTGTCCACCCCATCCAACCTACCCCACTTAGCAGGTGTCCCTTCAAAGTAGCTCCTGCCACATCCCTACTACTTGCAAAAGTAGTCTTGGCAGGGACAAGTGGCTCTCAAAAGTGACTCCAGCCTTGCAGAGAGGGGAAGATAACCAAACACACACACACACACATACACACACACACACACAAACCAGTGTTCCCATAGTCCCAGCAGCTGAACCTTGTAGCTGGCAGTGTAGAGTGAGTTCCCTGCTGGTCG